CACCCAGAAAATAAGTGACACAAGTCTCTGCAATCAGCGAAAGTCGTGGAAAGAAACTGTATGGTACTCCCCGCTTTTAATAGGGGTGAATAAATTCACAACCGCCTTTGTGCATGTTGTACATGAACCTCTACAAACTTACCTCCCTGAATTTTCCAAATAGTTAAATAGAGCAACTGTTTTGCACCCTGTCACTAGATTTTAGTGGTATTCCCTGCATGGCCAATACAGAAGGACAAAATCTTAGGAAAGTAATTCAGCTCACCCCAAAACCCTTGGAATCACTTTGCAGTAGCATGGGTCTTTCTCCTGTGTTTACTTAGAGGGTATACAACAATGAGGTTCTTAACTTGGGTCATTTGCTGAAATCTAGGTTCAGTGAATATCCCTTGCGTATGCAGCTCCTTCTGGAATGAGTCATAATTCCCAGGAAATACACACTGTACTAATCATTGCACATTTCTGCAGAGATTATTGTAAAAGCAGTCAAGATTAAGACAGCCAAACAACTCCAGATAAAAGTCTTACAAGCCTGACTGTCAGGTGTAGATGCGACAGTTCTGAAGGACATTTCAAAGACAGCTATTTCTGTTGCAAAGTAAAACTTTATAATGCAGTTCTTTTCCCCTCATTTGTCCTAGCAAGAAGGGGGTTTTTTTAGAACAGTTTGGGGGTATATGCTGCAGCACTCATTTCTAACAATTATTTTCATCGCTACTTAGAAATTCTAACAGCTATAATGTGATTTATAAGAATATAAGTATGTGATTGAAGGATTTGCTAAAAATGAGGGGAAACGTAAGCAGTGGCCAAAGGTGAATGGCTAGGCTCAAAGGAGGTTATTGTTTGTTCATTAGAGAATTAGTCTTATTTTTGTTAAAGATTGTGCAATAAATTCCATTATCATGCCTTCTGTGTCACTATCAACACAGAAAAGAATTGGAATATGGTATGTAAAGAGCTAGATGGTCCTGAGGATTGGAGTAACAGATATGAGATCATACTTCTAGGATGTAACAAAATGTTTTCTATTAATTGAAAGTTCATCAATTTGAAAAGACCGAGGGAAAAGAAGTATCAAGATTATTATGAGTCATGAACCCCTCTGAAAAGAGACAAATACCATATTATGAATTGCACGATAAAACAGGCTTTCCTTGCCATAGCCATGACAAAGTCAACTCTTGCAGAAGACCAAGGCCCTTATCCTGATTGTGGCTCTCCTCGCCAAGAATTCACAGTTCAGTGAGAACCCAAATGCTAAACAAACCCCCCCAGTTGCACTTAGGATGCAACTCTGCCTGCTTCACCTCCTCCCTAACATTAATTTGTCTCCTTTAGCTTACTTCATCATTCCAAACAGCAGATTTTAAAGATGTTTCAGTTAAGACGTTATCAGAAAATGTTAATATATCATGGGATATTTTCTCATGCTCTTTGCATTGTGATTTCAGCCTGAGATCTGAATTAGGAAAGGTTAAATTGCAAACAGATATTTTTAGCATGAAGAAGTGATGACTTCAGAGAAAAATGTATTGCATTTTCTCAAAGAAAAAAAACAGAATTTGTAATGAAGCTCATTGCTAGTATACATGCCTTTTTTGAGCCTCAAGTAGCACAAGATATGCTAGTGGTATAAGACTGTTCAGAGGCTACTGAACAAACCGGACAGTATTCCATCACCCACATTAAGTCTTTAGCAGTTCTATGGTGTACTGCCCTTGAAGTTGATGTTTCTGGTTACTCAGTAGTTGAGTGGGCTCTGTTCCTCTTGCTAGGTGTTTAGAAAGGATGCAGAACCTAAAAGCAAGTTCCTCTTCACTGGAATAACAACAATTGGAAGGTTCAGAGGGCCCAGTGTAATGTCCTGATGACTCAGTGAGTCATCAAGGGCAGAAAATACCTCAGGAACACTGGTGATAATGGAGTGATTGTAGGATTGCTCCTCTCTGTGCCTAGAGAACACACACCCTTCCTGAGCATACACAGTGCTCAAAGATTGGACCTGAAGATCTGGCCTTCTGCAAAAACTTCTGAGCATGTGACACAACCTAACTGGATCTCTTCTTTTTGAACTATATACACTGCACATTCAGCAAAAAACAAGATAAGGTCACAAGCGTATCAACAGACAACCACTGCTGAAGGCAGTCAGAATCAAATTATACCTCAGCATGCTGGGCAAAAAGGGTGATTTGATTCTGAATGCACACAGAAAGACCCAGTGTCTGGACCTCAGCTATTAACTTCCAGGCATTTTTCTTTTTTTCCTTTTGAAATACAAAACTTTTATTAGTAAAATTGAATTTGAAGAGGAGAGGAAACACATACTGAGAAAATAATTGAATTCCTTACTTTCAGCTTTAAGTGAACTTTACCAAATTTCTTGAGTTTATATACCACGCCCATTTATACAACATGACACAGGAGGATTTCTTCCCTCGGTGGAAGGAAGAGTTCTTTTATGGCTTAAACTACCTGCCTCCCAGTGCCAAAAAGCAGCAGAGCTTTGGATTATGGACTAGGAGTGTGAGTTGGAAATCCGGAGGAAGCTTTACAAGGAAAGTTGCCATCAACTGGTGAAACTTCAGGGATTCCACAAAAGGGCCCTATCATGCCAGTGTAAAACCAGTCCCAGAACAGTATAATTGAGAAAAAAAAAGCCAGGAGACTTTAAGATGAGCCTCTTCCAGGTGACTTGTCACTACACGGCCTGTATCATGACTCTCTATCAGATTTACATGCTACTTCTGTACACACACAGCTTTTGACACCATTTTCTCTGTGCAGATTGAAGGCCAGAAGATACATGTCATTAGTATTTAAAGACTTTAAAAAAAGTATGACCACTGAATTCAAAGATCTTTGTACAACCCTTTTATCATGCAAAAAGAATAAATGCCATTGTCCTTTACAGACCTGGAATTCTAATTCCTTCTGGACTGAAATAATGCACATACTTTACTAGTTTCAGCTACTCGAAAATAATGTCTGCTTTTCTTGCTTGTACAGAGATAGTAATAGATATTAAGATGGGTACTCTTAACTATTTCTAGGAGACAGCTAATCTTTTTCTGCATGCACTGCTATGAAAGACGATCTTCCAGTAAATGTAGAAAATTAATATGTTAAAGCTGAAGTGATTATAGCTACAGTGACTGTGACTGTGGTTTTTACTTCCAGTCTTTCATACTATATTCACTGAACTCATGTATGGAAAGATTTGGTTAAATCAGTGCAAATGAGATTTATATTAGTATCAGCCTACTTGTTAGTACTTTAAACTGCTATTAAGTATGGGCCAAGCTATTAGTTTAACCATGACATTTAAATTAGTTAAATAACTAGATCTTTTGCACAGTTTCAGATAATAAATCACAATTATATTCAGAGAGAAAATTCCATCTTCCTTTGGGAAAATTTATGTAGAAATTACACTTGATCAACTGTAGAAACACAGGCAACTTCATCACATAGTAATACATTCCTTTAAACTGGTTCATGTGAAGAGTGATTGGTTAATAAAACACAACCTAAACAGGATGGAAGAAGTTCCAATAGATCATCCTGTTCCTGTGCATTTGACTGCTCTAAACTCATGCAAATTGGGTCACTTTCCTTATGCTTGTATTGTATAGGAAAAGAAAGTTCATATAATTTGCTTTATGCAGCATTTATATTAAAAAAAAATGAAAGCATTTTGGAAAAAAGAATAGGACTACATAGAAAAAAATGTGTGAGTTCTACAGAATGGGTAAAAAGCTCATGATACTTAATTGACTTATAAGCCTGATTTTTAAAAATTATTTAGGGTTTGAAAGGACCAGTGTCACAAGTGTTATCAGGATTTCAATTCATATAACTTAGTGTATTGAACTAATTTTACCAACATATTGTTTCCCTATGTTTTATAAATTAATACTTTTAAAATTCTGGAGTATGTTGCTGTTTTAGTGCTCAGCACTGACATCTAATAAGCTTATTTCAATTCCAGAATCTTTCTGGATTAAGCAAATATCAAGTCTGCACATACAAATCTAGTCTGAAGCTTAAATTTAAGCCAACTGCATAGTTTTTCTCTGAAATGCCAGAAAAGATAAAGTATTACTCATCCCACATCCTGTTAAGGTCAAGGGAAACTTGAAAATGGTAAATTATTTAGAGATATATTTTTTATTATCTTTAAAGCATAGAATAAATAGAAAATTTTCCAGAGTTAAAACTTTAGACTGCTATATATATTGTTACTATAAGCATATCTGAAAGGATATGTGGCAGATTTTAGTAAGCTTTTTCCATACACATAATAATGCCAAAATGTCTTTTAAATTTTATGTTCCATTTAAAAGAAAAGAAAAACTGTCATGCTCTACCTTGAACCACAGGAGCAGTCACACCAGTACTACATCAATACTAATCTAGCTACATTTCACATCTGACACATTATTTCAGTATATTTTTAAATTGTAAAATTGAGCCAAGTCATTCTCAGTTGTTTTAAGTAAAAGCCATCAGGTGCTAAGTGATTTATTCAGAATTGATATTCCTAAATACCAGTGGAAGAAAGAAGGTATCTATACAATAAGACATAGGATTTGAATTTGCAATAAACTTCATCCAGTCAGTAGTATCCGATTGTTTCAGGAACCTGACTAGTTATTTTTAGCATACTTGCTTAAACTGAACATTAGTTGACCATGTAAATGTAAGAAAATGCCAAACACAACTTAACGTAACCTTAGCTTTCTGAATGCTAAGATCCTAATCTGCATCTTGAGTCAGAGGAGAAAGGAAAGGCACTTCTAAAGACTGTTTCATCCTGCATGTGAACTGTAATGCCCCTCTCTTTCTATTGGCTCTATAGGGGACCTGAAAGATTAAGCTGTCTATTATTTGGCCAGACAGTTATGAGAGGTGAATCTTTCCCTGAGTGCTACCCATTCTGAAACAGTGAAAGTATCAAAACTGTCCCAACAGGTCTACTTTTTAGCTACTTTTACCTTGCCTTTTCAGTGACTCCCATTTGTTGATGAACATCAATAAATTCCATGAGTTGTCTTTGTAGCACGTTTTCTTTTCCTTCAATTTGCTTAATAAAATCATGCTGCAAAAGACTAGATACTGTTGGGCGCTTCTCATAATCTTTAGTCAAGCACCTGTGCTGGCAGAAAAAACATACCATTGTTGAAGGATTGCTGTTCAGTTTTGAAATGCTTGTCTGCAGTTTATTCATGCCTCCATAATAAATGCATCCGTCTTAATCACAAAAGCTCTATACTGAAAATAGTTTTCACCAAATTGGTGAGTCCAAGATGTTAAACTACTGCATTTTAAAACTAAATATGCTTTAAATTAAGAAAACCAGAAACATCAAGTGTGTTAAAATGTCATTTCATGTGTTAAATCTGGAGCCTCACTTGGAAGCCAAACTGGATTTTCAAGAGTTTTTAAGGAAAAGTATTAGTAGCAACAGATTTCCATAGTGAATACAAAGATATTTTACACATGACGTTTACACATGTTCCATATTCAGCTACTGTGGTCTCAGTTGTTACTCACTTATTAATGAAGTCATTGAATTCAGGTGACCACAGTTCAGGCTGCTGTAGTGTTGGGGGAGGATTCCTGCAAAGGTCAATATGACGATAAGTTAATAAGCTGCTCACTTGACAAAAACAATGCGTGAAGGCAGGCTGAGTAATGAGTTTTAGAAGGCCACTGAAAAATGTATCGATTTTGACTGGTAAAAAGAGCATGGGTAGATGCCTCACTGGTTCTCCTACTTTACATAACTAACAAGGAGAAATAGCATAGAGATGATCTACCAAGCATAGCCAAGAATCACTATAATTTTTTCAATCGAATCAATGAATGGAAGTGAAACTAACAACCCATTAATCACTATCCACATGTAATGGCAAGTTTCTCTTTACAAACCTGAAACAATACACTTCCTTAACAGACTTTTTGAAAAGAAATTCTATTTTAGGTTTTCCCAGAAGGACTGAATTAATCAACTTGCTGAACAGTGTCAGAAGGAATTAGCTCTTTATTAACTATTTGTTATCCATCAGAAATTAATCAGAAGTAAGGCAAAGGACTAAATACTACTACTTTCTTTTTTGTTGTTAAAGCTGTTTATTTTAGGTGTTAACTTAGTACATATTGTTTTAACAGCCTTCCATTCAGACAGAGTTGCCATTTTCACCAAGTATAGTCATGAAGACAAAAGGGATACCTACAGACGAGGTGACTTTTGTCTATTTTCAATAAATCATCATAACTGCTTTTATTACTCTATCATCAATTTCAGGTTGTACTTAATGGAATGAAAGATTTTTGATCTTATATTTGCTTCTGGGCAGAAAGGTACCCAGTATTTTTAAGGGTATAAGCCAAATGGTTTTTGAAGGCCTAGCTGAATGACTGACCACAGCAGTTTGTAACTACTTTTCCCATAGGAAGTAAAGGTAAGAAGAGCATTCATCTTCTACTTTAGTGCCAAGTCAGCCAAGATTTCTTAAACCTGAAGAAAATTTATACTAATTTGTGTGACTTCACTGAAAAGGACTTGAAGCACTCATGCACTATGTGGTTTCAACTGTTGTGGTGCAATCCACAAACTGCTGTATGATCATCCCCTACAGACTTTGAGATAGATGTTTCCTGAAATGCTGTAAGTGGCACTTTGGGTGCTTTTATCTCTAGCTTCAAAGAAAACATGTAAGAAGTTGCTATTTGCACTGCCCAAGGACAGCAACATTGGAACTACTAGGAGCAGCACAAGCTAAAGAAAAGTGGCAGCCTAAATGTACGTGAGTGGTGGAACAATACTTCGCTTCAAAGGACATGAGATAACTCTTGAGGACAGGTATGGGACTTGCTCACCACAGTGGCATAGTGGCATACTCAGATTCTGTATTTCTATTATAAATCATTCTTTGTGACAGAATATACAGGATTCTGCTAAGTCCTGTGCTCATGTATTTTGTGTGGCAGTCCACATAGGAGAAGGTCTTATGACTTTTTCTCAAATGTAGTCACAGTCAGCTCTGAACTTCTCAATGTGTGCACATGGTTGAAGAAGAGCCTGCAGAAAATATAGCTGGACAAAGTATATTTCTAACCTCCCCCTAATATAAATAATACATAGAAACTCCACACACAGACTTACACAGTTAAAGTTTGAATAAGTAACAGTTAAAGTTCTGTCTAACCTGGCAGAAATAAGCACATCAGGATATTACCTTGGTATTTTGAAGAGTGCCCTCATAGGGTGCAAATCAGCAAGGGGTGGATCTCCATCTCCCAGCTCTATTGCAGTAATACCCAGTGACCATGCATCACATCTGGCATCATAGGAGCTATCTAGCTGCTGCTCACAGGCAATCACCTGTTGGAATAAAAGACTTGGATGGTCACTGTATGTGCAAACTTAAGAGTACACCCAGAGTCAGGCAAATCTCTTACAGGATGGAGATGCGCATGAAATAGAGACTTGCACACATTTAACAAGCTAAAGCAGCCTGCTGCTGAAAAAAAGCAATGCTTAAACTAGAGAAAGCAGATGTCCACGAACACTAGGTTCTCTGACCAAATGTTCCTGCGTCAGACAAGAGGGTGCAAATCCTTGGACATTTCAGCTGAAGGTGGTAAACTGCATCCCATGCTGAGGGAAGTAGAAGGGAACTCAGCAATGTTAAACTCATTTCTATGGATTATTTCTGCAAAATAACTAATGGAGATATACTGCTCTCTCTATGAAATGAAACAAGCAGGGAAGCAGGAGTTGAATTCATTGTCTCCTACTGGGTCCTTATTCAGCCAAATCAGCCAGTTTCAAGATGAAGCTAATTTCTCAGCAATGCATTTGCCACTGGTTTACAGCAAATGGATTTGATTTCATGTACATTTCAGCTCATCCATAATGCCAGATGAATCTAGAACTTTTCATGCCATTAGCTACAGGTGTAAACTAACATGTATGCCATTAGCTACATAGGTAGACCAATGTTTATGAACAGAGTATGTTTATAAAAATACATGTGTATAAACAGAGTAGTTTCATGTGCTATAAATAGTTGTATATGCATGTGTTGTGTGTGCACAAACAGTGTAAATACATAGGCTTATTTATAATAAAATATTTTTCTTGCCTTAGCTTAAAATGTATCTTTGTATGCTTCAATTTCAGGCTAGAAAAAACTCCAAAGATACATAGTATCTTATGAATATTTATATATTCATATATATTCATATAAATATATGTATATGATAGTGTATGTATAGTACAATATATGTATGGTACATCTTATTCATTCATAATAAACTCTTCCATTTCTTGCTGTCAGCTATGGATATATAGCATTAAAAACTTTCCAGGTGTAGAAATCAAAAGATAAAAGCTATAACGTATTAAAAAATTACCACCCTGGGCTCCTTCCATGCATGGGGATATGACATATCTATAGTTTCAGACTTCTTAGGATTTTAATAAACAATTCAACATCTTGCTCTTTGGCTTTAACCTTTTAATTTCAAAAATAAACTTCATTTTGACTTAAGCCTTGCAAACATGTAAGAAAAAAAAAGTTGAAAACACTTTTTTAAAGGACATTGATATTTCATTTGGGGAACAGACCAGTGATCAGGAAGAAAACAAAGAGCAGAAATGCAAGACTTAGAATACCACCGACAAAATGTTTTGAAACACGAATCTAACCTCTGGAGCCATCCAGAATGGGGTGCCCACGGAGGTGTTCCGACGGAGGCGAGTGCTCGTCAGCTGAGCAGACACACCTGGAAGAACGAAGGGAAGCCATTATCAGAGCAACTGCTATTTCCATCCAAGACAGCCCTTCTGAGCGTTGGCGTCCTCATCTTCATGCTACAACTTCTCCTACAGGCAAATCTCAAACACGTCTTTCTGGCCCAGTCCTCAAAGATACTCAGCACTTCACCTGAAGTTCTCCACATTCTTTGTTTCCAGTGACTTCAGCACTAGTCCCAAATTTAGTCCCAGATGAGCACTTCATTGGCAATCTGACTCATATATTTTGACTGGCTAATTACAGTTTTTCTATATCTTGTTTTAGGAGAGCAGTAGAGCACTTTAGGGAAAAGAAAAAAAAGAGTACTGTACCTTCCACATATTCTTTTTTAACTTTTAACGTTCAATACTGATACTAGACCTCTGTTTCATTATTAATATATTTCAGGTTGAACACTATAAAAGATACTTATCCTCATCTCTTAGCGGCTCTGCCATAAAAAAGAAACAACAAAACAGTGAAACCTGGAAGATTCTTACAAAACCAGAAGTCTCTCCATGTTCAAAGCACATTCTCAAAGCAACAACAAATGCCTGCAAATCAGCTTTGTAACATGAGCTGTAGTTTAAAGGAATTAACTGTTTCAGGCCAAAAGCTGAAATGTGACCTGTGAAGCCTGAAGATTCCTTACGGTTTTAAATTAAAAGACACTGAAATACTAGGAATTAGAGTGGGGTACAGTACAGTTCTGACCAGCCTGCCACCAATATCCTTCCTTACAAAACAAGTTTGTATTGGTTGGAAATATCTCGAGTGTGTGCAAAAGAAAGGGCACAACACATGGAGAAAAACAACCGCTCAGCTAGGATATCCTGGACTATTCCAGTTTTATGAATCAACGTAAACTTTGAGGTCCACGCATTGAGAAAAACACCCCCTTCACTAGCAAGTCCTAAACTGCTATGGACTTGAGTAACAGCCAGCTGCGAGGTCCATCAAAGACATAGTCTGAAGTGCCGATATGGATGTCAAGAAAGGTGCTAAGTTCTACACTTCTTCCAACCTCACTCTCACTGACACTGAAGGTCACTTAATTTGCCTTCATACACCTATCTGCTTTCTCTTCAAGAAAGTAAAAAGACTGAGATTAACTCTGTGAGTGCCATTTCAATTTTCTGAAGTATATGACGCTTCAGGGAGCACCACTGGCCAGTTTCAACTTGTATTGTCTGGTTCGAACACAGGTGAGCATACCTTCCTGAAAATCCTGCTGATGTTTCATAACAGGAACAATTCACAGTAACTGCCTGGTGTAAATACTAACTAAATCTCTGTCTAGGGAGAATTTGTTTGGTATGGGATTTTTATTTCTTTTTTTTCCAGTAGTGGTCAAGAAACCATAGAGGGCTTGACCTGTTTTTCACTCTAAAGCTATGTCTTCAGCTCTGATTGACAAAATATCTGCATTTGCCTGTCACAGAAATGTATATAACTGCTGAAAATAAGGCAGCAAGAAAGATCCTGCCTGTTCCTTTGAGACAAACACAACCATTGCTTTTATGGCTGCTTCCCTCTAGTCTACTCCAGGCTTGAGACAGTAAAATCTCTTTATCTCTCTGTGCCTGCAGAAAGTCCGATAGACAGTGTTTGCACCATGGAAAGCAGGCCAGTCTTAGCACAAAGTCCATCAGTCCTACTTCAGCTCAGCTAAGCAGGGCTTTGTTTTTGGCACCTCAAGGAGTTGTACGAGGTCCAGTTTCCGGCTCACAGAGTCTGTGGCTGTTTTGAGCCCTCAGCAAAACACGTCATTCAGAAAGCAAGGAGTAAGCACACATCACCACAAATCCGTCACCACTGCATAGATGCCAACAGACATCATTACATGATCCTCGTTTGTGAAGGGAGAGGAAGCTACTCTTCCCTCTCTCTTTCTACGTGTTGTGGGAGTCCCCTGTGCTCAGGCCTTTTTTGTAGTCTTGGATGAGGAAATGGGGTTCAGATCTGCAGGCAAAGAAATTTTTGTGGTTCCAGTGTTAGAAATTATAAATAATCGTGACTTTCTTAGAGATAAGGAACAAAATATAAAAGGAACATTAATATGCACAATCTTTTCTATGTATGCACTGTTGCTTTTTTTCTCTTTGAACTGTAATTATTAAATAAACTGAAGGATTTTTTTTTTTCTCCTCCCTCCTTTTTTACTTCAGTAAAAAGCTGATTTAATTTAAATTGTTCACCATTACTTTCTCTAGGCTCTTGGGGTTTTTTGTGTGCTTTTTGTTTGTTTTGGTTTTTTATCATTTTGCCCCTAGCAGTAAAGTGGCATTTCAGATTATGGAGCCTAGGTCTTATGACAAATGATATTTCCTCAGGCTTTTACTGTGTATAGAGGAAATATGATGTAATTCCACACTTAGTAACATTTCTTCCAGCATTTCAGTAACCAGTCAAGCATGTAGATGGCCAGCTTTTTTTAACTTGTGTATTTTCTAAACAACCCCATCTTGCTCCTCCCCCTTCCCCTTCACTATTGCTTTGCTGCAAAATGAGTCAAATATTCTCCTAAGAAAATCTAAAAATATGTTATAAAAGAGTGTCTTATCACACACAAATGGTAAATCTTATGAAAGTGAAGAGCTTAACAAATAAGTGCATTAACAGTACCAATGCAGACCATGCCCAAAAGAAAATACTGTGCATATAGTTGGAAAAAGATTTTTCTTATTCCCCCCTCCTTTTTTTCTAGGCATTACTTTACTAATAATAATGGAAATTAGCAGACTTACACCATGAGTATTATTCAAGCTTTTCATTGCAAAAACTGGCGTATTAGAAAACATTGAAAGCAAAGCCACCTACTTCTGACCTTAGTACTCAATAAAAGCAAAACAGTGCAGAAATGAGATCCCTATTATTAGGAAAGATTTGTTTCATAGTAGCACCCAATCTGAGCAGACACTGTTCTGATCTAAACTGGGAGGCTGTATAACATCATTTTATGGTTATGTCCTGTGACAGAAGTATGCACATTTTACTGGTTGATGCTAATGGGGGAATGGTGAGCCCTAGCAAATTGTACTAAATTCACATTCAGCACACAGCAGGGAGTCTGCATTCCAACACGCTAGCCACTGTCTTCATACATAAAAACACAGACCCTACTCAAAAAGGCTTACATTTTAGCTATCACATTGCCTCTGGCTACCTCTTCCATAACCTTTCTTCATTTTTGCATTCAGTGTCCACTTCCCTACCAAAGTATCCTATTTGTGACCTTCCTTGGAACCTGCAACTCAATTATTTCTCAAGCTAGTCTCTAGACTAAAAACTGCTCCCACTGTTAACCCCGCAGATCTGAACAGGCTGAAATGCTTTGAATTATTTCCCAATATTTTTTTCATCTCCTAGAAAAACAGATGTAAAGCAGCATCAGCATCTTACACTGCATTCCCCTTAAGCCTGC